TTGGTTGTGGTTCATGTTGACATTCTGGAAATGATATGAGGAGTAATTGTGTAAAATGGCTAAAGGAATAAATCTCTTGCGTTTGAGAATTTTTTGGTTGGAATGTATTACTTTTGAATCTCTACAAGGGAAGGAGTCACAGCAAAAGCCACAGAGGAAAAACGTTGCCAAATCTACGTTTAATCCACGTCGAACATATTCCCATTTCCACGTGGAGTCAACGTATATTCTCAACGTTTATTCAACGTTGACAAATCTACGTTTATTCTACGTAGATGATATTCCCATTTCCACGTCGACTCCACGTATACTCTCAACGTTTACTCAACGTTTCTAGGTCGATAAATATACGTATATTCAACGTCTATTCAATGTTGCTGTGCCACACGGGTATGTTCCGTTGACAATACACAGTGGATAGGTTTTTTCCCCCTTCTCTAAGGAGAGGGGGGGGGGTTGGAGAATATCATGAAGGGAATCTTCCATTGAGGTCGTGTGCTGAAAATTTCCACGATCAGGTATATTCTTTAATTCATTTTAAGAACATAAGTTTGTCTGAGTTATGCCGTGGTCTATGGGACGCTCCAAGGAAAAACCGCAAGAACCTCCCAGGGAGAAGGCACCAGGCTGTTTTTGGGATTTTTGTTGAATAATTCCATGAATTCACTATAATCTCCACGAGGGATATTTGTAGGACTTCTCGAATATATATTTTGAGCTGATGTAATGTAGAATGATAACAAATAAACTTTCGCACTTCAGCGCACCATATCTCGCAAACGGAATGGCATAGGAAGGTGAAATTGCACTGCCGTGTTCAGGAAACAAGGATGATTTAAGTTTTACAGTTGTCACACGTTGCCACCAGGGGCGCCAATGTAGGGATTTTCACCTCATCATTTGCTTATTTCCATGGGTAATAATTGGGGCTATCATTTGTAGTATAGCTCAATTAACCAACACGAAACTGACAAGTGTGCTGAGAGTGAAGCTACAGAATGGCGAATCTTTCTTTACATTCACCATGTATATGTACCTGAACGATAGAACGTCGACAAGATTACGCACGAAGAAACTGCTCCGACATTGTCAGGAGCATCGGGTTGCTCCAGAAACCAACTTATGAACGATGATCATGAAAGAACGGTTGTTGATGTTGGGGTCCTGGAGTGAAATATTCTTCGTGACGTTGACGTCAGCAAGGATTAATCATTTCATGTTCTGAATACTTTATTTTCGGCTTTTATTATGTATGATATATTATCTACAAATCAGCATTTTTCTTACATTTCAGGATATCTGCACTTCAGTAGACCTATATTTACATATTTTCCCAATTTCATTCATACACTATCGCATTTCATCCTTTCGCCTTTCACCATTTATCATGAGAAGAGGGTTCCTCTAGGAGAAATATCCAATATTTTAATTGTCTCTGCACTATTTGGTGCCGGTACCAAAGCAGAATCCAAACTTGAAAACTTGAAGAATGTATTGAAATTCAGATTAATCAGCAAAGGATTGTTACATCTGCTGACGTGTTTCGAATGGTGTTTTGCCATCTGCATCCACAGCATTCACGTCAGCGCCGCACTCAATCAGCAGTCGAGCAGTCCTATCGCATGGAAATCGGCAGACATCGCTAAAGTAAGTGTAATCATCGGGGACTGGAGTCGAGGCCCAGCAAGCCAAATGAAGTAGACTTCGCCCGTGTCTTGTCTTCAATGGGATGCGATTGAGGTGAGAAATGATTTGCCGGATATTGTCATCCCCTTCTGGTAGCTTCAATTGACCTGCCATCACTAACAGGTACAACACAGAGTGCATGTTGCTCTCCATCTCCTCCATGGCCTCGTCAATATCCTCGTCATCTGAAGCCAGTGAGCTCAGTTGCTGGTGATTGCGCTCGAGTTCTTCGGCACCCGACGAGAGGACGCTAATAACGTGATTAGGACTCAACTCCACTTCCTCATGAAGCATATCAGTGAACAATCCCGCCAGGCGGAAGAGGTCCTCCTTCACAGACCTGCGGCTGTTCTGTTTTAGATTCATGGCGTGGGTCCACAATGCAATACATCGTTGAAATTGCTTCTTGTCTGCGCACACCGCACCTCGGTAGAGAATGGGAAATATGAGGTCTGGGTTTTCTGAACCGAGAATCCGCTCCCGAATCACCAGGCTCTCCATGTTTAGAGCATCTGTATCGAACTGGATTTTCTCCAAATCTTCTAAGGTTCTCGATTCCCGGTGGAAGTCATATGCTGCAATCGGCTCAATGTGAGGCTTTTCAATAGGAATAAAATACGAAGTGAGATTAGCATGCTTGCTAGAATCACCCATGCGTTCTTCCATTGCCTGTTTGAGATAGAGGTAGGCAAGAGGTAATGAGGGTTCATATTCGTCTCTGTTGCTGTTGGCAAACGAGGCACCAAGGAGCTCCAGGGCCTCAATGCGTTCTTCTTTGCTGATTTCGGGTCGCTGTATTATTAAGTGAACGACATCGTCTCGGATATTTTCAGCCGCTGTGAGCAAGGGTGTCATCTCATGCTTGTTTTTTGTCATCTTCCCTCCGTAGGCCATGAGTTCTGAGACTATCTTCACATG